TGGAAGTAAGGAGATTGTCTCCTTAAAACCTTGGAGCAGACGTTGGAAGTTGGCTAGATGATAGCCATGGCCATGACTTTTCAGGTTTGGGAAGGCCCTGGGCTTGTCACTTTGGGACGTCAGAGGTCTGCTAGACTATAACTGGCGTAGAATTAGAGTTGAATGAGCATTTTTCTACTCAGTGTTAATTCTACTCGTTCACTCTTATCCTTAAATTTCACGGGAGTTAATGAGAATATAACAAATAAAGATGAAATGGGAAAACATCAAAGGGCTGGGTGAGAGGAACAGGAGGAGGGCTGGTGGGAAGGAACTGAACTCCCCACGTTTTCTCTATTTTGCATCATCTCGACTTCAGGTTCCTTCTGGTGGGAGCTGAGGTGGGAGGCGGGCTCCCTTAAAGCCCACCAACACTGAAAAAGAGGAGAGGCCAAAGCAGGGAGCTGAGCAAGAGCCCAAGAACAGTGAATGGGGAACAAAGGGGAAGGCATGCAGAGAATTCTCCAAGAAGACAGGGTGAGCTGAAACCACACACCCTTGGGACTCTGCACCACCTGCTGGGAGGACCACAAAAGCCAGGAGCTCAGCACAGCACTCTGGGATGCAGAATGGTAAAGGGACAAGGAGAAAGTCCAGGAGGTCACAGAGAGGCATCCGCTGGCTGTGGGAGGAGACGGGAGAGTGGTGAGCAGGGCACTTGGCCTCCCCAGGGCCTTCTAAGGGTAGCTCCAGCACTGGGAAGAGGGAAGACTGCTACCACTAGAGAAAGCTGTTTATGGAGTTTGCACTGGACAGTGGATGGGTGTTGAGGGCAAGGAGGGCCCATTAAAGTGAGGGGGCTGGGCCACATCTTCCTTTAAGGCACCGCTGTAGGCAGAGGCCAAGGTCAAGGCCAGCAGGACTATGTACTGAAAGCCGCCTTGAGCTCCCAGAATGCCACCCTGCGGACCCTCCTCTCCTCTGCCTCCCGCTTCCGCTCCTCCTGCTCGGCTTTTAATTCAGCTTGAAACGTACTGGCAGACGACAAGACTTGGACCTTGGCTTCGAAGAAGCTCTTGGAACCCTTGACGCCCTCAAGGGTGATGTCAATCTCGGAGAGTTTGGCCAGTGCCATGAGCCCACTGTCCTCCTGCAGCTCCCCAGCTGCGGCCTTGTGGAAAATGAGCAGGAACTCTCTGAGCTTGCAGTCAAAGCCCTCGTCCACCTCCTTGATCATGCCCTTCAGACCCAGGTGGGTCTGGGGGGCCCCCAGCTTCTCCATCATCAGCTTCAGCTCCATCAGGTCAATGTAGCCGTCCCGCCCGGCATCGTACCGCTGGAACATGCTCTCCAGGTCCTTGATGAGGCGGCGGCTGAAGTATCAATATAAGAAAATTAGAAATAGTCAGAATGAAGGGAACACATAGAGATTGATATTCTGGGTGTTAATAAATTGAAATGGGCTGGTATTAGCCATTTTGATTCAGAGAATCATATGGTTTACTATGCTGGAAATGACAGTTTCATAAGTAATGGTATCGCATTTGTCTTCAAAAAGAATATTTCACAATTTATCTTGAAGTGCAATACTGTCTGTGATAGAATAATATCTATCTACACACAAAGATATCCAGTCAATACAATTACTATTCAAATATATGCACTAGCCAATACAGCTAATGATAAAGAAATTGAAGAATCTTACATTGGAATTAATCAAATGTACAATGAAGATGTATTGATTATTATCAGGAGTTGAAATGCTGTGGGGTACCAGCCCCCACAACCAAATGTGTCCAACAGGATGTTGTGTAATTGGAAAGTAAATTAAAGAGACATCAGACACGATAAAACATGCAAGGGTTCACCTCCACCGCCATGACTTCATGAGCCTGGTCCACGCAGAGAGAGAAATTATATTTCCAACAACAGCTTATATACAAGCATGCAAATCCCCCTAATTACAGGTAACCACATGGGTAACAAAATAGGTAACCCTTAACCCTAGAGGTCCTTGAGTTCACTGGAGGAGTAACCTAACACCAATGTTGGGGGAGTGAGGGGGCAGGTAAAGGAGAATGTCTATCTCCAGAGTCTAGAGAGCAATAGCACAGGTCTGCTCCTATAGTTAAAGGTGCCAGCTAGATAGCAATCAGCTTGTAAGAGGTAACTTTAAGATAGCACTATGATGGGAGGATACAGTGGGGAACAATATTAATTATGAGAATGTGATTGGGACTCACCTCCAAGTCACAAGGGTGAAGACTTCCCTCCACCCCAGAAATCCAGCTTGCCAGCCTTCTTAAAATATGAGAATAAAGAATACATCCACATCTGGTCTCTTTCCACCTGCTGTTTCCCACAATTCCACCTTTGGTTCTGGTATAAAATTCAATAGAGCCATTGAGGCTACATGATTTTCTTTCATATGCCTTAGCTTTCTGTAGGAGCAGCATGTGGTTGCAAGGACAAAATTATAACAAGTCATAGAGTTAGACTATGACGAAAACTATGCAAACTGTTTGGATCCAGGCAGGTGGGTGAAACCTCTCTAAACCATCTACCAAGTGTTTAATGACATCAGAGAGAGGGGATGGCTTTAACCCATCCTTAAATGTATAGAACACTCTTTTTTTAGCTGAATCACACCGAAAGAAGTTTCCCTTAAACCCTGCAAATGCTTTCTAATTAAAGTCCAATTAAGTAAGCTTACATTGTACAAAGAGTGGGTTACACAAAATTATTCCCTCCATGTTGGATTTAGGGGAAGTTAATGGGTGGGCCTTAGGCCATTGTGGATGTCATATGGGAATGACTCCATAGCCAAATTAAAAAAAACAAC